ACTACATTTCTCCGTAAATATCTTTCGCGAGAATATTCTGGGTCATCGATGTGTGTAAAGTACTTTCAACGATGATCATTAAATATCACTTTTCCAAAGGATGACTTACATCCCTCTCTCGATTGATTTCCATGCCAAGAACCCGTTCGCTAACGAACTTGCAACGATAAATTATACATATTTAACCGTCGCGCTCGGTGAATCAGATTGTATGGAAGATGATCACTTTCCCTCGCACGTGTTCGTCTTCGATCTCCTTACTTTTCTCTATTAATATCATAGAACATCATCGTGTCATCTCGAAGGATGACCATTAATCATTCATCTCGTTTTTCTTTTAGCAGAATGCATTGGTTATGTCTGGCAGCGTTAGCTGCAACCGTAGCAGCGCAAGGGTCTTACGATTTAGACCCAAGAGTGTCTTTTACTGGGAAATCCTCCAGTTTAGGACCTCTTTATTCGTCTAGCCTTAGCGGTGGTCAAGGTTTTCGCGATAATAGTTACGAGGATAATATTGTAACGCCAACGCCATCTCCCTCGCCTTACCGGAACCCCTCGAATCAGCAACCCGTAAGTAATTCAAATTTTTTCACGGTTTTTTTTTTTTAATTTTACTCTTCTCTTTTATTCGAATTATAATAATTATTAATCGCAGCATAAACAGTTGCATCACGCGTTGCATTGCGTGTACCTGTTACGCGTTATGCAACAGCTTACGTAAAAATATATCGCTCTCCGTAGATTTAATGTACCGGTTCGCACACGTTTATCGTTGCGTGTAATCGCGTACAAAGAACGCTCATTATTACGATCAGATACCGAAAGAATTTTCTGAATGTTTTCGCAGTTGTATCGTAAACCATCTGGAGGCGGATTGGATCAGACGGCAATCAGGGTGAATGGACCACCGCGTGGTATTCTTCGAGGAGGACAATCGCAAAACCCACGGGTACGCGGCATTTTCTCTTTTATAAGGAGTCCTCTCAATAATGCACACAATATGTTGACGAAATTCTGAGAGTCATAGTGGGTGCAAGTGAAATTGTCATTCTACGTACGTCTTGCAATAAGTGAAAGCAGTATAAGAAATTCTTGCATCCATTGTTTGCAGCTCCACACAATAACTGGCTTATGTAATAACCAGTTACGATGAGAAGAAAGAAATGTTTCTTTGTAAAGAAGTAAATCGGTACGCTTGGTGCTTTTTTTTTCTTTTATCGCGTGATTTCTAACAATTACGCGGTCCGTCGTTATCCCTGAACGGTCGTCAAAATTAAGCAATCATCTGCGGTAAATCGCCCGGTTGATCTTGTCGCACCCGTGTTCCTTTTTTCTTCTTGAAAGAATGCAATTGAGAAAGGGGAGCATCTTACGTAAACGCTTGATTTTGCGTGTGACTCGCTTTCTTTCCTTTAAAGTACAATGCTCTTAACCGTGTTACGTGTTTGAAGGCCGAGGTTGAAGAACTGGAGGAAAAGGAGGAGCCGGATCGTTTGACCCTTCTTCTGCCGCAAAGTAAATTTGATTGCGTGAACAAGCAGACTGGATATTACGCTGACGAAGATCTTAACTGCGAGGTCTTCCACTATTGTCAAGATAATGCTAAACACTCTTGGATTTGTCCTGAAGGATTCACGTTCCATCAGGTAAGGGCAGGTCTTAACATAATTAAGTTAATAGTAATGGAAGCTACCTCGGTGAAAGCATTTGCTACTATAAAAATCCAGAATTTCACCCCGCCCATACGTTTTCACCTTGCCACTTCCGCTATTATATAGACAGCGAAACGGGTAAGTAAGGCCAATCATAAATCGTGCGATCGGTTTCCCGATAGCGGGGGCAATCGGTATGCGTTTCCGGGGTAATCAACCTACGCTCCTTTTCTCGCTGGCAAGGATGCAAATAAAGCTAACGTCTATCTATTGCACGAAACACCTTTCTCTTCAACTTCGAGGCCGTTACCGTTCGACTAACATGTTTGCATTACAGGTTCACCTGATTTGCATGCCGCCGAGCGGTGACATAAACTGCAAGAAGAGCTCCCAATATCACTTTGTGAACGAGTACCTCTACAAACCATTGAACTTGGCTGAAGCCGAGACGAGACCGAACGTAACCTTGAGATACAGTGAAAGATATTTCCCTGCAGATATTCATCCTGACGAACGTGATACTGAAGACACTTATTCGTCTGCGCCAGCCCGTCGTCCTGCACCAGCAGTAGGACTTCCTTGATTGAGATTCTTTATTTTTATTTTATACGCCTTTAGAATGAAATTAGATGGTGTAACTGGTATAAATGATTGTTTTTTAGATATACTCTAGTCCTCAGCCAGCTACTTTGAATAGTATTCCTCCATCAGCTCGCCCACAACCAACGGGACTTCCACAATTTCGTTTACCGATCAATCAGGTTTTCCGCAGTCCTGAAGAGGTAAATATACCCCTTCAACATAGACGCCCACAACCCCAACAGCAGCAACATCAAGCTCTGAGAAGATTCCCACAAGTACGACCCGATGATGAGGAATACGAGTAAATTTTGATCCATCGTCGTTCGACAGTTATTATCATTCATCGTCACCCTCATCGTCGCGTTTCAGTCGTTAATTATATCGCAACAATGTCATCATATACATTCCGTGTTGAAATTATCAACGAATAACGATAAACATAAATGCTATGTTTATTCGAACGAATTATAATTATATAATTCTGTAGATTAATTGTAGAATGTAAATTATTCTATATTTTCAGTTATCATTTTATACAAATTCTTAATTACTGCGAGCAAATGTAAACTCAAATTCGTCTAAATTCGTGTAATTAATACACAGATTCTATATTCGGTTTTATTTATAAATGGAATTACATTAATTAAATGAGAATTACGTAATATTGTATAATTTAGCAACACGTGTGTCTCAATATGTATCTGTCAAAAAATAATCAATGATTTTAATAATATAACAAACATGCTAACGTATAAACATGTAATCGATATTAGTTTAATAGCGATGACCAATAAATTGTTATTGTATTATTTTTAATAGCATTATTATCGCTACGACACTGTTACAAATGTTTTCTTGAGCGCAAAAATAGTCAATTCACAATTTAAGTAATATGTATGTAATATAAAAAGGAATAAAATACATATAAGTTGCGAAACATAATCATGTACATTTTTTTTTCATTGAAATACATAAATAATTCAATAGATCTTATGCTTTTACATATTAAATTTGAATTGTAAAAACAATGAAAAAAAAAATAATTCAATTAATCATATTAAATTAATTATCAAATCAATAATTTAATTGATCAAATTTGCGAATTAAATTTAAAAAACTATGAATATAATGAATAAGATCTGAAGAAATTAATAAAAGGTAAGTGCACATAACTTTAATGAATGTAATTAGTAATAAAAGCATGTAACGACTTTCAAAATAAATGTTAATAAACTTTATAAATTACGGCCCCGCGACTGCTCCTGGTAGCAGGATAACAGATGTAGAAAGTGGGGGTATGATTTTTGGGGCGGCGGAGTGGGGGAACCTACGGTTCGAAATGTACTCCTGGTATCAGGATTATAGGATGTGCAAAGAGGTAGCACAATTCGCGCATGCGCAGTGATCGGCCGCGCATATGCGCAGAACCAGCTGCGCAGTAGACCGGCCGAAAATATACAGGTTATATAGGATATATAAAAATCGTTAATTACTCATTTACGGCTATTAAAAAGTGAGCTTTTATGATTGATTCTTAAAGAACAATGTATGCCGAATTTTCTCATACCCTTTTTGTGCACATCTCTGCTGTAATTACTTAGTTATTAAGAATTATTGTAGCAATAATGTAACTACGATTCGTATTAAACACCCATTGAATTTTTATTAATTTTACCAAATACAGCAATAATTAATGACACTTTATGGTCGAAACAGAAAGAGAAAGGTTCGAACTACATTCTTTAATCATTTTTAGTAACATTTTATGCGTTAATATTTAATAAACATCAATTCTTGTAACCACCATATTACCGCATAACAAGCCCGCTAATTTTCATTAATTTCTCAATTTCTCAATTTCTAGGAACATTTTGTGCACTTTTATGACTGTATTAGAAAGAGTAAGGTCGAATTGAATTTCTAATATCAGATTTGCAAGCATCTGAGGCGTCGAGACGTAATAATTAATCATTATTTCAGTTCGACGTTTTATTGTAGCTTATTGTAACATTTCTCATTAATTTCTCGTAAATCCGATACATTTTATGAACTTTTATAATTTTAAAAGATAGATCAGACTTTAAGCAATCTATCGATACCTATATTGTATGCATTAACAATCTAGAAGCTGAGAAATTTACAAATAATGTAAACCCTGTATCCGGGTACCAGGAGCACATCAAAATGGAAGTTGGTGGCACAGAAATCTGCGCAGAATAGGATGCGCAATAGATTCTCGCGCCCTTGCGCAGAACCGGATGCGCAGTAGAATACTGGAGGTAGCATGGTGGGGGAAACCTACGGTTTGAAATCTACTCCTAGTAACAGGATCACAGAAGAGGCAAAGAGGTTGTACCCGCCAAAATCTAAAAACTAAATTACTAACGCCACCTATAAAAATATAATAAAAACTACTTGTAGATAACTTGATTGATGAATTATCGACTCGGTAACTTGATGAATAATCGTGACTATTTTTTTTAATTGCAATTGTAAAATATAAATACAAATAAACCCTACTATTTCTACCACGTCCGAAGACAGATGCGACAGATTGACGCTCCTAAGCGGGAAGCGGATAATTATGACTTATCTTGCAGTTCTTTTTTCCTATTTCAATTCTACGATTCTAAAAAATATAGAATCAGTCAAAAATAAATAGTTAATTGAAATACGAAGCAATTCAAAATTTATTTCATACAATTAAAACAAATATAGATTTTCTCTTGTTCGCTCGCATATAGTTTCTGATGTAAGATATCGCCATATTGTTTGCTACACTACCGCCTTCTAAAGTAAAAAACTTTAGGAGGGTTATAACCGAGTATCGTCACTTCGTTTTGTATTAATTGTCCATGTGAATTTGTCTTGTTTTGAAGTGAATTTACTCCATTGTGTTGTCTAGTGTACATACTTTTCATTAAATGCACGAATAAATCATTCAACTTTCGTGGTATTCGTAGAAAAATCGTTGATGCACTATCGTGTATCCTTAATACACGACATTCAATCAAGAATTTCGAAATATGGCTGCTGCTGCTGCTGCTGCTTTGCTCGATGAGCTTATGGGAAGAAACAGAAATGTTCTTCCCAACGAGAAGCCTAAAGAACTTAATTGGGAAGATCCAGAGGTGAATCTTCGAAACTCGTAATATTTTGATTGCCCCGTCAGTAACGGGCTCGAATTTTTACATTCTTTGTACTCACTGCATTTGTCTTTTTATATTTCAGTTTTGTAAATTGTATTTAGTCAAATTTTGCCCCCACGATTTGTTTGTTAATACGAGAGCCGATTTGGGCGCGTGTTCCCGGGTACACGATGACGAGGCCAGAGAATTGTTTGAAAAAGCGCCATATTCGTACCGAAAACAACAATACGAAGATGAATTTATTAGGTTTTGTCAAAGCATGTTGAATGAAGTTGAAAGGAAGATAATCAAAGGGAAGCAACGGTTAGCTCTTATTGGAAGAACAGAAGCGGTAGGAGTACAAAATATTGTCTGTAATTTTTCCGAAAATAATAAGAAACTTATGTAGTTTTTACTATCATTTATTTAGCCTACTTTAACACCAGCACAAACTCAGAGAAACGAAGAACAAATTGCACTTTTAACCGAAAAGATTAACAAGTTGGTAGAAGAAGCAGAACAAAGTGGGATACAAGGCAATGTTGAACAGGCTCAAGGTTTGATGAGACTATGCGATCAGTTGAAAGAAGAACGAGAAACGTTAAGAAAATCTAATGATAATAGTCACTATAATCAGGTAAATATAAAAATACATGATGTGCAAAACTTTTTAAACAAAAAATATAGAAATTAATATTTTTATTTTGCTTAGACCGCTGAATTGGCTGCTGCACAAGAAAAACAAATGGAAGTGTGTGATGTTTGTGGTGCATTTCTCATTGTGGGAGATGCTCAACAACGAATCGACGATCATTTAATGGGGAAACAGCACGTTGGATACGCCAGATTAAAGAGTGCCCTTCAAGAGATTATGGTAATTTAAAACTTTTTTTGTATCAAAGATTTATATAGTTTAAATCGTATGGGATAACAATCAAACTGAAATGATATTTTTCTAGAGTAAACGTGAAAAGGCTAGAGACGAGAAGGAACAAAGAAGAGAAGAAGATAGAAAACAAAGAGCACGCGCTAATGAAGATCTTGATAGGCGAAGAAGAGACGACAGAGATCGGGATCGAGAAAGGGATAAACGTCGCAGACGCGATGACGATAAAGGTAGACACGATTCAAGCAGCCATAGGTAATTACTTAAATATTTCAGATTAATCAGTCAACTTAACAGGATTACTTTATACTGTTCGTTATGTTTAGAAATTCTGGACATAGAAGCAGAAGCAGGTCAAGAGATAAACATGACAAGCATCGAGATGATGATCATCGACGTCATGCTCGCGATAAAGGTAAGTTTTAGATGAAATTTTAATTATTAAGATATCAAATTAATCAAACATTCTACGCTTTAGGAAATCGTGATCATCGTAGCTCGAGTCACCATAATCGACGCCGCCATCGATCTAGAAGTCGAAGTCACAAGTAACTACTCTTGATTGGTTAGTGAGTGAGAACTAAGCCAGGTATGCACTAAACAATATATACCATATCCGTCTCAATTACTATACAGGTTCTTTACCAGGTGAGTTTCATTAGATGCACATAATGTATACATGATAATTATCTGTAATTTTGAAGAATGGCATAGTCACAGCGAGCCAGTCCTCTGGTCCTGCCTATTAATCGGAGAAACACTATTACTAAATTTCATACGGACCTGACTGTGTACAGCGTTTAATTTTCAAAGTGACGAGCTTGCTCTATGTAACATATTACCGAAAAAAAAAAAAAAAAAAAAAATGGTGCATCAAGGTAATGTCGAGCAAGGGATAGTAAAATTGTGTTCCCATACGAAAGGTATTTCTATCATGTAGTATTATAGATATTGTCTACAGAGCAAGATAGGAGAAGGTATACCTATCCTTGCTTTGATCGGTATAATGTCTTCATAGGGTAAATCAATGACATATATAATTTCAACGACTGCATAGCTTTTTTTTGTCGAAAAGAAATTAGTGGTTTAGTGGAGGAAACAGTGCCTACTTCCGTAGACCTGCTACAACAGTGCCCTGTGTGACTGTGACTATACAATCCTAGCTTCTACTACGCATTTCTGAGGTATTTATATCGGAATGATAATACCAAACATGTCCTTTTATTAGGAAAGTTAGACATTTTCAGAAAACGGTGACCTTTATTTTCGAGCGATATTTGATTGCTTAAAGTTATGATAACAAACTCCTGCTCTTACTTTCCTTATTCCCTGATTGTAATTTATTCGATTGTAATTATAATATTCACTTTAAAGTTGAACAATGGTTTTTACCAATTAGTCAGGGAAGATCTCTACGATAGGACCAAAGAAATAATCATGATAGTTTAATTTCTGATAATGAATTCACCTACTCTATGTAATCCAGAAATGTAATATATTTTTATTTAATAGCCGTCTGGCAATGATTTATAAATCGTGTATATTAATTGTTATCTTTAGAACTTTATTTAAAAAAAGTTCAAGAAACAATATGATGCTGCATATTCTTCTTCCCTTTGCATGCATTTTTTCTCCGTTACTTTTAATTCTGAAAGATAGGACTTGGCGAAGCTCAATCGTGTTTTCTTATTCAAAAGTATTGAATATCAATCGTTATATTGTCATGGTAAATCATTTGAAGGTTGCTGACAGGTCACATGGATTGTGTATTATGGCGATCCCAGGATAATATTCCTTTTAATCATATCTTGTCTTATTCTTTTTGTCACATCCTTCATTTCGGCTTGATAGAAGACTCATACTTTATGCGCGCACTACATTTGTGTGATCTCGTGTTTGTTCGCGATAAATTATTCACCCCTCGATTAATCCGCTTTTGGAAGCAACTAGATTTCGAACAAAAAGTACAAAAGTGATAGTTTTAAAAAAGAGAACCGTCTTGTATTGTTACATTGGGATAAAAGAAAAATCCTATTGTTAAAAGGTTTGTAAATAATATCACATTTAACATATTATTTTCATTTAACTTTCGCATCATTCTATTATCATAATATATTTAATTATAAAAATTAAGTAATTTACTATGTAACAGTAAAATATCTAATTTTATTTTTATTCTAAGCTTACAAATTAATTCTGTTTATTTCCAATGTTATAAACAAAGATGATCAGTTATATAATCTGCTTTTTCACACATGTAGCCGACAGAAGTATGAAATAATTTTTTTTAATATCATACATACAATATATATACATATATTAGGGCAAGTTAACAAATAATATACAAATATGTTATCCTGCTGTTTGGTAATGACAGAAATTAATATGATAAAATTCTATTGAAATCATGATTTCTGAAGGATATGTTGTCTATTTTCAGACAGAAGATATGCCATGGGGATGTAACCACTACACGGACTCACTTGCACACTGCTTAATATAATATTAAGGTAAAGATTTTGCATAATCTAAAAAAATCCAACAAATCAAATTTTATTCACTTGCGTTTGAATTCATTTTTACTGCATTGCGCTATCTCGAATTTAATTACAAAAGTCAAGAATTAAAAATTTAATATAAAGTATTGTTATCAGTGTTATATCATGAAATCAAGAAACAGTTCAAACGATTTATTAGCAATTCATTCGTATTTGATGCAAATGTTACTTTGGATTTTCTACATATTAAAAAAAAGACATCAAAGTAAATTATCTATAATTTGCATTGTAATATTCATAAGATTGTTAATTGGAATTAATAAAACAGTACTGCATTGAAGATATCAGGTTATTTAAAAAAAAAAAGACACAAACATTTTTAAAACAGTCAGAGTTATATACAACTTAACAAGACCATCTGACACTGTACAATCTCTAACAGATTATAAAATTTATTACATAAGTATACATGTATATATATGTATTAATAATACATTATTGAGCGATAGAATATTCTATCTAAATACTGTACATAGTAGTAATATTTGCTATAATACAATTATCTGCTAATAATCAAATTATCTTTGTACAAATTAAAATACTGTACATCAAGTGTAAATATTTGTATTGGTTGAATGACTTTGATTCTCTCGTGCGTATTTAATTCCCTCACTTCATGTCAACAGATGCCAAAAAGTTAAAATAATTAGACGGCAGCAATTTTATTTAAGTCCAATAGTTTTTGTAACCTGAAAATAATATATTATTTAATTACTTAGTGTGATTTGTTTTAGAATTATCTAGACAATAAAAAAAAACTTAAAGGTTTGACAAATTTGCTACCTCTTCGTATACAGTCCAAGCCATTGCAGTCACTAATGTCCTTCTCAACATTCTTGGAACAATGCCTTTAAAATACCCTAATACACCGTATTTTTCATAAATCCTCAATACAGAATTACGAACACCATTAAATTCATTTGGATACAGTTGTATTTTCGTTTTAATCACATCTGCCGGTTGTGTTATAATAGAAGCAAATATTCCTGCTAGTATTCCACAACTAAAATGAACTGGAACTAAGGATTTATCGCAGAGCGAATCTAAAAGTATGATTAAGTAAGTTAAAAATATTGAATGACAGAGACAGAAAAAAAATTTGATTTTCCATTTGATCAAAGTTACCTGCTTCTATAGCTATACTTTTTAATTGAGTATAAAACATAAGATAAAGACCACTGAAAGGGGCGTCTCTTAATAATGTCGGTACTAATCCGCGTGAAAGACCTCTTACTCCTTCCTGCTGATAAATTAATTTCAGTGCTTCTCCTACACTATTATATTTATAAATGTCGCTCTGTAAAATGAAAACCAAACTGAATCATGTATTTTCATAGAATTTGTATTAAGTAGAATATTCTAGGTTTATCAATATCAATATTTTTACATCTTATTTCATTTGCTGTGCATCTTTTTTTATGACATAATATTCCATACAATATAAAAGATGTAAATATATTTATAATTGTTATACGTACTTCAAAACGCGTTTTCACCACTGTTATTGGAATTAATAAAACTCCAGACATAGATCTTGCTGTAATACCTAGTAATGTAGCTTCTATAGGTGTGAGTGGATCTTCTAGTTGCAAAGTGTGTTTTAACCAATGTAACGATGAAAAATATAATCCAACACCAGGAACAACTCTGGTGATAGACTGAAAGAAAAAGAAATCTCAATTCATGCTCCTTTCCGATTTTATTTAAATTCAATAATTGCCATAGTTTACCGGAGTTATACCCCTCCAGAGTCCAAACACATTTTCTTTTTTAACTATATGAATGATCGTTCCTAAAGTACCACTTCTTGAAGCACTAATTGAAAAGTAGGTAATAAAAACATAAGTGAAAATATAATTTTATTGCAAATAATTGAAAAATAGAATATTGCTTTCAACTTACTCCAGGTGAAGATTTACTCTACTTTGAAGTCTTGTTTTGATAAGGTCCAATGGTTGAAATAAAATAGTTGAAAAAGTACCCGACAGTGATCCCGCGAGAAAAGACTTCAAAATAGGATACTAAAAAATAAAGAAAAAAAGGGTTTTAATTTTTAAAATGCATTTGAAAATGAGTGACCTTCAGCTACTGTATGTTTAAAACATCACATACATAAGTGTATCTATATTTGTTTAATTTGAGGTGATAAAATATATGGAAGCTACCATAAAATGAAACATACAGATAATGATATATCAGTAATTGCTGTTGTAATAAACATATGTTATTGCATATTATCTTGCACGAGTTCACTCACGTGAGTTAAAAGTTTTCTTTAAGAAGTCAATATCATTGTTATCTGCATAATGTACATAGTATCATGGGTTGCCATTCATTACAAGATTGTCATTTTTTTTTCCTCTCCTTTTTTTTACTATATTCTAATTGTAATAACATATATGTAAAAGAACTTTGTACAAGAACTTTGTTACATGGAATGTATAATGCTCAATAGGCATCATTAATATTACTATGAATATACTTAGAAATTTGTTTCCATAAATATGTAACATCAAAATATAAAATTATTTTATTCAAAAGTGTATGGTATTAAATTGTATGAAACTTTATTTCTAACCAAATTGAATTTTATTTAAAATTGTATATACATTTAATTTTATAATTAGTCCAATTATTGTAATAGTCGTAGAATAGATAATTTTTTATTTTCTTTTTCAGCTAATACTTGTAAATTTGGGACATCAAACTCGCAAACTCATATTGCAAATGAACACATGAGATACTAAATGGTGTATACTGCTCCACATAAATCATCCAGTACACCTCTTTTATATTTAGAGGTATTTTTTATTCCAATATATTAATATTATGTTTGTTTTAATTAGTAAGATTTATCAAGTTTTATATATTTACATTTAAAATACTAGTTAATCATTTCAGCATACTTATAATACCAAAGTAATCATAAAAACATGTTATAATTTTACTGAAAAATGACTAATGGTATGAATGGAAATATTTAATAAAAGTTATTAAATACAGTAATAGCTTGGAGTATGGAAATATTTATCCTCTAGTAACTTTTATTACCATTATCCTTAACATACCAAGAGTTTACATTGCAGAAATAAGAGAACAAGTTCATATACTAAAATAATATAACTGGGATACTTACAGTTCCCAAAGCTTCCATGATGATATAAAATTTACTGGAAGCCTGAACAGTAAATATATTTCAAATTGCAAGAAATTGTACTACTTTCTTATTTAAATACAAAACTCAAGGAAAATATTTCTTCTTAATGCTTCCTTTGGTGTTACTGAGGTACTAAGAACATTAAAATCATGACAGTTACTTACATCTTCTTTTATCTTCGCTTCACCACTTTCGGGGTCAATAGAATAACCCTGCATATCAAAACATATTGCAGCAAAAAATCCAATAATATCAAACTGAAACGTGAATTAAACGTGACTTAAAGCCAAACGTGACTTATTCGATTACATGTTTAATCTTAGGATATGAAAAACAAAACTTTATTGTCAAGTATAATAATACTTTTATTATAACATAACTACTACTAAAAGTATTAATAATATTATATAAAATAGAGTCTATTGTAAACTTGTTAAGTGTTAATAGAAGTATTCTATTTATTAAATAAAATAAATTTCATGTATTTATACATATGTATACATAATGTGTATGTACATGATATAAATTAATTTAAAAAGTTTTTTATTAGGTTAGAATTAAAAAAGTGGAAACGAAAAACTGATGTATTATAATAAATGTGCATATCTATAATTTTATTTTTAATAAGTAAAGTACTTATTTATAATTACTTTATGATATAAAATATAAGTGTATGGTCAACTCGCGTATTTCATACGTGGTTATTGCACATTAAAAATACATTCAGTTAAGAAATAGAATAACGTCAAATGTAGGAAGAAATCACGATACTGATAAGGTTCTTATCTATTAGTACAAATCCATTGTTTCAAAACAAATATGCCTTCACTATTATCGATTACGCATAAATGCATAATCTCGTGTGCTAAATGACGTATTGTTTGCTTCAAATCCATCACTGCATTTCACAATCAAAATAAAAAAATGAAGAGAATCTAATGGCAAATATGTTGCAATATTTGTTGCAAATGCATTTTGGATATATCTTTTATTATATAAACAAGAAATTTTGTTTTGAAAGTGAAATTATTTTTTAAAATTATCAGTATTTCTTAAAATAAAACAGTGATAACATTTATGTAATGATATAGGACAGATAAAATATTCTTATTCCATATGTTATTAATCCTCAATGTATTCCAATATAATTTATAGTAATTTCAAATTGTATTCTTTGACTTTTAAATAATGCGCTAATTGAAATATGCCGCTTTTCCTGTTTAAGCGCTGTAATCGTTTTAACACTTCAGCAGTTACGGGAAACAAGTTCGGCCATTTCTCTTTTGGAACGTGGCGTGGTCGGTACTGCAACAGCAGTGGGTGAGATTTGCTATTTCTCTACTAATTACTACTTAATATTCATTTCACTACGGTTAAAATGTACAATGTTACTAAAGTAACTATAATTTTAATTAAAGTAATATTTTTAATTGAATCCTTATGCTTATTAACGTTTTTTCAAACACGTGGTGTTCAGTTACCACGTGTTCGAAATTAACTTTTTTGATGCAAACTTGTAATATTAATAAAGGATTATTATTCAAGATTACAAATTACAAAGTTACACAATTTTTGCGTTAAACAATGATAGCCTAAACAAATATTTTTGTATTAAATGTGAATTAGGTAACGACTGCGCAAAATGGTGAACGGAAGGATCCCATCAGTTTTCTCGAAAACTTACGTTACTCCTAGAAGACCTTATGAAAAGGCTCGTTTAGATCAAGAATTACGAATTATCGGTGAATATGGTCTTCGTAACAAGCGTGAAGTATGGAGAGTAAAATACACATTGGCAAATATCCGTAAAGCCGCTCGTGAGCTTCTTACTTTGGAAGAAAAAGATCCCAAACGTTTGTTCGAAGGTAAAATTAAAATTCTCGTTATTAAATTATATACTTTTCTCTATTAAAATATGATGATTCATTACGTTGACACCTCTTGTCTGAATATTGTGAGGATATTTGTAGTATTAATGCTGATAAAATTTTGGATAAGTAATACTTTTTTTCTGAAGTATTTTTGCATTTTTCCTCATCAAAAAAATCTGTTTCAGGAAATGCTCTCTTGCGTCGTTTGGTGAGAATCGGTGTATTAGACGAGAGTCGTATGAAACTCGATTATGTCCTTGGTTTGAAAATTGAAGATTTCTTGGAAAGACGACTTCAGACTCAAGTATTCAAATTGGGACTTGCCAAATCTATTCATCATGCTCGAGTATTGATTCGTCAACGCCATATACGGTAGGTTTTAATTAAACAGAATATTTAATGTGCCTTAAAAACTGGGCAAGAAATGTCTGATCATATACAGACAGTTTCGAATCTTTAAGGCTATATTAAAATCCTGCTTAATCACCAGATAAGCAATAATGCTTATTTGGTTTCATAACTGGAAACAAATTTTTCTGAAACAGAAAATATATGTGTTATAGTTACTGAAGGTATCCAACCAATTTTTCAGATTGTCTACTCAAAATCATAAAAGCAATGCGACTTAAAATGTTGGATGAAGAGCTATGATGCTTAAGAATCTACAATACTTAATTTGAAAGCTGTTTTCTTTCAGGCAGGCCACTTAAGTGTCCTAATATTGGCACTTAACGTCTGTTCGTATATTAATGGATACTTTATGTATAAAAACTAATTGGTATATTTTTTGTATAATGCATTAAGATGCCAACTATACATAGTATTTAAAAATAGAAACATGGAAAGTATGATATTGTTTCAGGGTTCGCAAGCAAGTTGTGAACATTCCATCTTTCATCGTGCGTTTGGACTCGCAAAAGCACATTGATTTCTCACTGAAATCTCCGTTCGGCGGTGGCAGACCTGGCCGTGTAAAGAGGAAGAATTTGCGCAAAGGAAGCGGTGGAGCTGCTCCTGAAGAAGAAGAAGATTAAACAGTTTTTTACATGATACTTTAATAAAAGTATACGTTAAGCACTTCAAAATTGTTACAATTGAAATTTTATTTACCTACTCCTATCCAATCATTGTTGATTTCCTTTCCATACTATTTTTATATGTAATCTGCAAACTTGAGAAATTGAATTCATATGTATGTTCTGAAGTAATAAAATATAAATAATTGCAGTCTTCTATTTTTTGAATATTCTCAGTAAGACACACAAATGTAATTATAGATTCATAATATGTTGTTATAAATAATTATTTTTTATTTAAAGAAGTCATTTTGTAGCGAGATTTATTGAGTCAATACCTACTGAATACATGCTATCCTCGTCTGTGAGGCGCTTCTATTATTAGGAATGCATGAAGGTAGAGGAGCATCGCTATTTGCAATTTGTGGGAGAAGGATAGCGATAACGAACCGCCAATATCACCCATGAATTGGTCCCAAAACTAGCTCCTGGTATCAGGATCACAGAAAGTGGGAGGGGGTGTCAGCCAAGTATGGAAAAACACGTGACCAGTGGGCGGTACTATCCTACAATGGTAGCCATGACACGCCTTTTTCATGATGGCCGCTACTCACAAATCAAAATGGCAGACAAAAATAACAACAAATTACTCACTTATTGCGAACAATTGGTTTATTTTTATAATTTATTCTAAAACTACGTGATAGTAAAAACTATTATATGTAAATTTTAATAATAAAATTATTATATGTAAAAATTATCAACAATTATATAAACAACTGTTTGTTGTGTTCCGTACAGTTGCTCTGTTATTACACATCCTGGTAATTAATTTGCGATAGTTGCTGCATATATTTGGCTTCTATTTTATGAATTATAATTAATTTTTTAAATAATTTTCAGGGTATGCAGTTCGGGGAGCTACTGCTAGATGGCACCACATTCGATTTTGCCGTCGACGAATACAAATCGCTAGATTTGGAGTAGGGGTATCAGGAGCATCAAATGTGCAAGGAGGTCTATCGCCAGGAGGTAAACCAGCGGCAAAATATGAATTCTTCACTGTTTTCTCAGAACATATAAAAATAGGATAGAAAATTGGTATAATTACAGAGTAACAAATACAGTAATGTTTTAAGAATAAATAATAGATTTACGTATAATTGCGTTTTCTTTTTTAGCAAGTGGTCACAAGTGGTCAAAAGCCGTGTATCATCAGGAGTGGCAACCTTCCACACACTTGAAGTTACGACCAAGAAATCTTGTGACTATTTTTAATTAAAATTGCTTATTTTCTGAGTTACCTTGAAGTTTGATCTTCAAGCAGATTAATCGACACTTTTTTAATCGTCTTAATGTATTAAATATTCTGTATTATTTTAATATACACTTTATATAGTATTTGATATTGCGGGATATCACGCAATTAACATTGTCCATTGGGACAATTTACAACTAACGCAAAAGTTTCTACAAATAATAGTCTTAATAAAAAGTGATTGAATATCTAATTGATGCATAATAAGATTGGTTATTTTTAGATATAAATTACACACCACTTTGACCGATTCCATCAGGTTGCATTAAATGCAGAAAGGCAACTCGCAGCCATTTTCATTCCGTACCTCGTGCATTTAGAGGTTTCCAAGATGGCGAAGAAAACGGTAGCGGATAAAACACCTCAAAACGAAGATAATATTAAAAATAACGACGATATACTAAACGATGATGAAGAACCGAATTTCAGTGATCCTGAGGGATTTGTGGATGATATCACCGATGAAGGTAAACACGATTTTTCGTAAATGACAATCCGACAGAAGTCGACGAACGGTGATTGAAAGCATGGCTGGGTATAATCGCGAATGTGGCATGCGAACTTAACCTTAAAGCATTTTCTTCGTATTAAAATATTGTATAAAATCAATATTTGTATATTTTTTACTCGTAGAACTTCTTGGTGATATTTTGAAGCAAAAACCATCAGAAACAGATGGTGTAGAATCGGTGATTGTTATCGATGGAGTGCCCCAGGTTGAACCCGAAAGATTGGAGAAACTTCAATCTGTGATCAGCAAAGTTTTAGGAAAGTTTGGCACAATTGTAAATCAATACTATCCTAAAAATGAAAATGGATATACTAAAGGGTGGGTGTACCTTCATTTTATGTGGTGCCTAGTATAATTATATGTTGTAAAATATATTCAATTTATCCTTCTTTTAGGTATATATTCCTAGAATACAATAACCCTGTTAATGCTTTAGCAGCTGCTCAATCTGTAAATAATTACAAAATTGACAAACAGCACACTTTCAAAGTGAATTTATTTACTGATTTCAAGAAGTTCGAAGAAATCCCAGACGAATGGGAGCCTCCAAAACCACAAGAATTTAAAGCTGCAGCAGATTTACACTATTATCTTTTAGAACCAGATGCTTATGATCAGTATTGTGTACTTTGTGGTAATGGTTCTTCTGTTACTGTTCAGGTTTGGCAGAATTCTGCCCCTGAACCATCATTGCTCGAAGAACGTGCTGTAAGTTATCACATTTTAATACATGGAATAAATTTTTTTGCTTTTTTAAAACTAACGAGACTTGCATATTTTTAACAGCGTTGGACGGAGACGTATGTTAAGTGGTCTCCATTGGGCACGTATCTGGCAACATTTCATAAATTGGGTGTTGCATTATGGGGTGGTCCTCAGTTTGTACAGCAAGCTAGATTCAGTCAAAAGGGTGTCGAATGTATTGATTTTTCACCTTGCGAGCGTTATCTAGTAACGTACACTCCTCGAACTGACCTTGGTTCTGATCAGAAACGTCTTGTAATTTGGGATATTCTTACCGGTCAAGAGAAACGTTCCTTCTATGCGGACGGCTCATCGGTGTGGCCCATCTTCCGCTGGTCGCACGATGATAAATATCTTGCTCGTATGGGAGAAGATATTCTGAGCGTTTATGAAACACCTGTATGCTTCTTTCTTTTTTATTATTCTACATATTTGATGGTAAATTGGTAAATTACACTTATTATAAATGTTGCAGTCATTTGGATTATTGGATAAAAAAAGTATAAAAATTCCTGGAATCAGAGATTTCAGTTGGTCTCCCACTGATAACATTCTCGCATTCTGGGTACCAGAAGATAAGGATGTTCCAGCTAGAGTTACCCTTCTTGAGATTCCAAAGTAATCAATCCATCTGTTTTAACAAATATTAACATCATTTTATAAATTAACTACCAGTTATTAATATACGATATATGATTTCAGTCGAAACGAAACACGTAACAAAAATTTGTTTAACGTAGCTGACTGTAAAATTTATTGGCAAAAGTCGGGAGATTATCTTTGCGTGAAAGTCGATCGTTTCGCCAAACGTAAGGAAAAAACAGAACAAAAGTATACGGTATGTTAAACTGATTTTTGAATATAACAATATATGTATACATACCTATCTTATAAAGACAAGGTTTATTTTTACATTAACAGGGAATGTCGTACAACTTTGAAATCTTTCATATGAGGGAGAAACAAATTCCAGTTGATAGTGTAGAAATAAAGGAACCCATTCATGCTTTTGCGTGGGAACCTGTCGGCAGTAAATTTGCTATTATTCATGGGGACATTCCAAGTGTTAACGTTAGTTTTTATGAAGTACGATACGGCCATCAGCCTGCACTTCTAAGTAAGCTTTGATTTTGTAAATCTAAATTGTAATGTTATACCAACAATCTGTATCTCGACTCCTATTTTATATTTGCTAGAAAAACTAGAGAAAAAGGCTTGCAATCACCTGTTTTGGTCACCTTCCGGACAATTTATTGTCCTCGCGGGATTGACAACCATGGCAGGAGCTTTGGAATTTATCGATACTAATGATTTTATCATCATGAACTCAACCGATCATTATCAAACTTCAGACGTAGAATGGGATCCTACCGGACGGTGTGTATATTTACTCACTCCTGTTTAAATAATTTACAAAAATTATGTAAAACTTTGGTTGTAATACATACATGAATTTTATTACAGGTATGTAGTGACTGCGGTCTCTAGTTGGAAAACTAGCGTTGATAATGGATATTGGATATGGACGTTCCAAGGTCGCATCTTAAAGAGAGTTAATCTTAATCAATTTAATCAATTGCTATGGCGACCACGACCACCAACGTTATTAACAGCGGAACAAATTAAAGAAATTAAGAAAAATTTAAAGAAATATTCCGCGCAGTTTGAAAGCAAAGATCGTATGCGATTGACACGTGCATCAAAGGTATTTGAATGATATTATATTAATATATATTTAATCTAAAGAACGCTTTTATTTGAAAAACAACTATTTTATAGGAACTGATTGAGAAACGTTGTGCTGCGATGAAAGCATTTGAGGAGTACCGTTCAAAACGTATTCAAGAATGGAACAATCAGAAAAAACGACGTTTAGAATTACGCAGTGGTATGTATTAAAATATAATAATTTTATTTGATTTTCAAAATGACTAAAGTTCACATTATTGATACGATTATTTTTCTAGCTATTGATACCGATGAATTAGACTCTGATTCCAAGAACGTAGAAGAAGAAGTAATAGAATTTTTCGTCAAAGAAGAAACATTTGTCATTGACGATAAATAAAACTTTGTGGACGAAGTTTTCCTGTCTGCCATTTTTGGAAATCTCTAGTGCAAAACCGATCCAGTCATTTGTGAAAAGTGTTATCAAAGTAATTATCTCACGGGGCCGCATTAACTGTGGTTCTTAATAGTGAACTGAAATGATTGTTCTAAGTGGTTATGAACAGTTTCTCTTATACTATTTCAGCACTTTAATTGGAATTGCTTCCATTTTTTCGACGTTGCGTATGAAACGTCGTAACCATAGTACCATAAAGTTTTATCACGTTCCATACAGGATAGTAGTATGTCAATCAACAAATAATGATTACCAATATAAATATATACAACGTACCGTTTTATTTAACGAACCCATAATTTGAATTATTTTAAATTTAACATATTTATTAATTGAAGAGGGACACCAAGATTTCTTATTTATATTTTTTCACTAATTTTAAACATATTGTAAATGATAAACGAAGAAAGTATGAATTAATAATCCGATTATTTTTTTTTTTTATTTCGTACAATAATTGTTTTTTAGGAAACAATTAATATAAATAGATGCTTCCCTATTCTAGATTGTAAATTAGATTGCATGTGGTAGATATTCCATACGAATAACACATGTTTAAAAATAATACCTAAATAGAACAACCGCAGCACATACCCACGCGGGCGGACTTCTGTCCCGTTCAAGAAATGTCTTACTTGTTACTCGCTTCGCATTCAAAAATAGACGTTCTTGTTCCTTTTGCAATTTATCCTGTAAATCTTTATTTTTCGTCACAACTGCAATTTGAGTTTCTAAATCTCTTCTAACTGATCTGTAACCTGAAATTAATTCTTTTAATAACCATCTTATATCTATTTATCTTCTTATGTTTATACACTACCAAAATTGGGGGATCCAATGAGTGTAAGATAAGGCTTTTCTTGATGCGGTAAAGAATACCATAATCCTTTTGCATGATACGTCCAACCTGGCTTAACAAATTCCCATAAAGTGACTCTATTTTGCTGCCCTAGTTTGTTACAGGATTCCATGAACGATTCTTCTAATCTCGTATATGCTGTTGGAATGCTACTAGCTAAGCCTTTTGCCGCTAAATACAATTTTTATTCCACATTATATTATGAAAAACAGAATTATTTATATATTTTCATAAAATTAACATACAAAAAAAACCATTGGTAGTTGGATGTGCAGTCAAAAGATGACACGTTCCTTGGCAGTGTTTAAGTAATGCATTACTGTATTCGGAAGTTAAATTAAAGTAACCAGTGGCTAGTTTCAACGTCGCACCCGGGGGTGTAGTCTGCAACACTTTCAGTGTTATCAGACTGTCATGATAGATATTTAATTGGCCCATCTGTATCAAAGGAAAGATCCAAGTATCTGTATCTAAATTTTTTCCTGTCAAGATAATTAAAATTACACTATAATTCCATGTTCCTTATATCTATACATACAAGTCGTACCTAGTTTTTCAAAATCAGAACGTTCTTCTATTTCCCTCTGGAACAGAGTTCTCATGCTATCCGCAGCATGTTCAATGAATTTTGTAGGAGTTTTAAGAGGATGGGCTTTTATAGCTGAATTTAATATTGTACTTCCGTTCGGTTGAAGTACAAAACTAAAGTTACCTACTCTTTCGACTAATTCGTCATAAAAATCACAAAGATCTTTACAATCTTCAATCAGAAAATAACGATCTTGTCGATTCGTAAAATAATCATTGCTAAGATTAGCACTAAAATGTTAAATTCAATTTAAAATTTTTTCCATATAACTGATTGCATACTGAAATAACTTCTTGTAGAGGATCAAAGATTACCCGCTAATTATTATATCATTATCTATCATGTACAGTTTCATGTGCTGTATCCCTACTAATTCATTGACACGATCTGGTATGATCATTTTTAGAAATCCACGAAGTTTGGGAGTGTGATAGAGAAAAACTTGACAGCAATGGCCATGTTTTCCATTAAGTAACGGTTCCAGCATTTTACGTGAGTTTAATTTACCTCTAGATCCTCTCATAAAATCTAATAAAATTTTAACTTCGATGTTGCCATTGTTTACACTTAAAGCTTGATCTATAGCTTTTACCTAAAACAAAAACGCATTACCACCAAGCTTTTCATTATTTAGATATTTACTAAACATCCTTACTAAATTAGATTCCAATTTTCCTGTGCCTAAATATAAGGACGCAAATGTTATTCTCTTCTTTGCATTTTTACATTTCTCTATGAGAGTAGAATAAAATACGCTTGGTTCATGAATGATCTTAATCTGAAAAGAGAAAAATTAATATGAAACTTATAGTTGCTTTAAGTTAAAAATCATTTACCTTTGATCCATTGATAGGAAAACAAGGAGCACTTTTGTGCAACCAAGACAAGGTGTGAAATTCAGGCTCCACTGTTTCTAATTCTAAATCTTTTTCTTCTGCTAACATACTAATTTGTGTAATATTTGTCGTTACAGGTGAACAAGAGAATCTTAATTCTGTTTGTTCATTTATTAACAGCTTCTTTGTATGAAACCTAAAAATCAATTTGAGATAAATTTCATGTTTTTGAAAAAGGTCTATGAAAGGAATATTAATCAATGTCGAATCAATAGGTGTATTCAAGTCGAGTATAGTAACATTTAACAACGCGTGCATAAATAAAATTGTACGCGTTGAAAAACATGCACAGTATATTTCTTACGTCAAATCTACGTACGCATAGGTTAACATATCTTTATCTGTACTTAAATTGATGAAATTTAACACGACATACATCTTGTTATCGTTTGTCGCGCTTTACTTACCGCTTTAGATTTTTCGCGATCAAACTATGCATGAGGGAATCTTCAAATAAAATAAAGCATTAATAAATAAAGGTTTTAAATTACAAACAATTCTTCCCTCCTGATCGCTAAGTTGCAACGCGCGCAATCTTTTGGACTTTCCATGTGTTACGTAAAAATATACGAATTGTGTTTGCATTTTTATCAGATATTCAAATAAAAAATGTTATCGATAAAGTATATGAAATACAGTAAATCTACATTTTTTTTATATACAAATAAGTTGTTAGTAAACTAGTAATCTTTGTAGCATTTTAAATTAAAAAAATTTTAAGTTTCTTGTATAATATTGTATGCATCTTTTCTCAGATTTTTTCTCTGTGATGTACATGACATTCAGAAAACATTTCGTTATTAACAGGTACATCCTGTTCGTAATTTAATATTATACGCTACTTATAAAATATATTTTGCTTGAATCGTTACGTTCTACTTGAAATCAATTTTCAAACCTTATATGCGCAAACTGTCGCGAAGCGCCTCTTCACGGAAGCACTCAGAATTAGTGGTCGATAGAAAATAAAGAGTAACAGGGGTGATTGTAGAAGATTCATATTGAAATAGACGTAAAATGGATTTCAACATGAAGAAATTAGTAAAAGATGCTGGTGCTGCATTTAGCAGGGTTGTACAGGTAACAAAGTCTCGTTACAACAATTCAACATATTTTCTTTGTCAAGAAAATATTCTTGTTAAAATACTTGCGACTTCTATCACTGTCATTTCTGACATTTTATACCTTTTACAACGAAGAACAATTCTTAACGAAACGATGCCAATTTGACATTTAATCTTTCCTTCGATATTTGCCGAATGATATATTTTATAATCAGTTTTCTTTAGCGTTCACGATCGTCATAGTTTTGTTCGCAACTTTCGCTAATTATTCTATGTTTAATTGATAACCGAGGTTAGTAAAAAATATAGTAAATCTCGATAATTGTTGTGTTCTACACTGTGCTATTTGTTAACTTTCTTGTTTCTTATGGTATCATCTCAATGAAATAAGTCTTATTTCTTGTTTGTTGGCCTTAACAATAAGAGAAGACAGATTTAGAATATCTCTGAGTTAAATAATTAATCATTCAATGACTCAGAACATATCAAATAAGTTGGATGACTAAGACCATTGCCCTCTTTAATTTAACGATGTCTTATGATGTTTCTCTTGTACATAATGAAGAGATATTTAAAAACAACAAAGATACATATATTTTAATTTAATATTTCTATTTTTCCAGTTGACAGAAGAAACACTGGGAACATCTGAGAAAACTGAATTAGATGCACATTTAGAATATCTCTCAGAAAGAGCAAATGCAACAAAAACATGGACTGAAAAGATTCTTAGGAATATGGAGTCTGTGCTCACTCCAAATCCAGGTAATATAAAATTGATTATACAGTTGTTAACATAGTATAATTAATTTGAAATATCTTATTGCAGGCAATAGAATTGAGGACTTCTTTTTTGAAAAGATTGATAAGAAGAAGCCTAACAGATTGAGCAATTTAGAATATGTAGGCATGGATATGATAGAAGCTGGAAATGATTTTGGTCCAGGAATTGCTTATGGTTGGAATAAATGTTACTTGCTTAATTCATTGATTCTTACATGTTTATTTCTGATAAGCTTAATTTTATAATGTAGGCAGTGCACTGATAAAAGTTGGCCAGTGTCAACAAAAGTTAGGTCAGATCGAAAGAAGTTTCATTGAAGCTGCAGCTAATTGTTATATACACCCCTTAAGAAAATTTCTGGAAGGTGAAATGAAAACTGTTACCAAAGAGATGTCTATATTAGAAAATAAACGGTACAGATTTCATTTATTCATACCTAAATATTACTTAATTTTAACTGAAAATTTCGTTACTTTTAGATTGGATTTAGATGCCTGCAAGAACAGAGTGAGGAAGGCAAGAAGTATGCTTGGCCAGCAGAGTGTAAGTTCTATTATTTTACATTTTATTTAATTATGCCCTCTGTTCGTTTATCATGTGTTTGTCCTGTACATTGCTGCATTTCATAGGAGTCTGGTGTATCACCTGAGGTGTTATTAGACCAGGTATTAACGTAACTGATACCTTTAATGGTTTTGAAAATTTATAACTAGTGTTATATTTTTTTTCTACAAAAATATTGTTATAAATGATACCATCATCTTCAAATCTGTTCACTCGCTGTATCGCACCATTTTATTATTTGTCTTATCTGAAACGCGTATACTCTTTGCTTTAGTTATACATATAAACAAATCAGACGCTATATTTAGTACGATATTTTAATTATAAACAAGCAATAAAACTGTTTATTGCTCTACTCAGGCAGAGAGGGAGCTGAGAGTAGCACAGTCGGAGTTCGATCGTCAAGCAGAAATCGTGAAATTGCTACTTGAAGGAGTTTCGAGTTCTCAGGCTGGACATTTGCGTTGTTTGCACGAATTCGTCGAGGCCCAAGCCCGTCATTACGCTCAGTGTCACGCGACCATGCAAGATTTACAACGTGAACTTGCCGGGTAAGACGACAAATTGATCTTGTAAGTTTTTTTTTTTTCTTTTCAAACTATCTCTTAATTATCCTGCACCATCCCTTATACAGCTATCCCACTCTCTGGTGATCCGAGTGAGTAATGTTTAACAATTATTCGATGCTATGTCACGTATGACAAGTGAAAGTATTTAGAAAAAGCTTAATAGAACCATTACTCATTCGCAGAGATCATCGTGCTCTGTAGATACTTATAAATGTAAATTTGTTACCCAAGCTTATTTCTATAAATACACATATTATCTTTTCACTGTTTCTTTCTTTTTTAATAGTTACTGTGTTTTGTTGTAAATATATACGCTTCATCGTAGGAGTGGATTTATTTTCATTTCTATTACAGTTCTATGCTTATTATATTAATTTACTCCTTTAATGTACTCTTTCTATTCTCTATCTTTGCTTGCATGATTGGGATTGCAGGGGGCGTCAGCCGAGTCCTTTGCTGCGAGTCAACAGCGAAGATGTGATCGAGTTAACACCTTCGTCCTCCCAATCCCAAACTTCCTCTGTATATCCACCACTAGCTGATTTTACCTACGTTACTGCCACTTTTGAAACCACCGTTACCGAGACCGATACTTCAAAAGTTTAGCCTTAGAAATCTATAATTCTATTCTCACCAAAGGCAGTAACTGATCCTTGTATTTGAAATACATATATGAGAAACAAGACAGCTTAGGGCACAGAATTTGTTCTCTGTAGTGCAGGGTATTTGTTAAATCGTACAACGATTCTAGAGATACGTTGAATATTTTTAGTCCATACTGTCATTGTTGAACTTGTAATTGACAGAAATCAACTAATAAATTACATTTTGAAATGTTCACTTACAGTTATTATCTTTCTCAAGATAGAGAGCTACAGTTTCGTTGTATTTTCTGTTAAAATTATATTTGATCAGTCTTCATTTCTGGTGCATGCTGTTAATTTTATCTATCAAGCAGTAGTTTCTAACAAGTGTTATTTCCCAAAACTGTTAATCTAACATCTTTCCTTACTTTGTTTTCTCCTACTCGTCTGATTGCTTATGCCTCTCTGTGTGTATCAATATAACTATCAATTAATCTCAATTAATATTCGTTTACGTTCAGCATGTTTACTGTATAAAATATACATTAAGTATATTGGTAGCATAATTAATGGAAGGTTAGAAATATTTTTTATTTTCAAAATTTCATATTGCTAATCCTAATATTGAATTATTCAGACATAAAACCTCGAACAATATTTTTATGGTATTTTTACATATACCAATACTGACTCACTCTTAAGAGCATGTTCAGCATACTCAACCAAAATTGTACTTTATCCTACCCAGCTTATCTGGGGGTCCTTATCATCCGACAACCCCACCAACATCCAACGCGTCAGCGGCAAATGGTCAAGAACGTGCAAGGGTATTATGCGATTATGAGGCGAGGGATTCTAGTGAATTAAGTGTCATGCAAGACGAGGTAACAAAATTTGTGATTTAGACAAGAGGAAGCATGTTCACAGTATGGCCATAAAAATGACATGTGTCTCGTTATTAGAAGCTATATTGAATTTATAGCTTTTCCTCGATTTGAAAAATTTGCTATCTTTATTTCAAACAATTGATTTACAATTTAATTTCATTGGTTCTGCAAGAAATTCTTTCTTTTCTAGAAATTTTGTAGAATAAAATAACTGTATAGTTTATAGCTGCCAGATTCAGTGCAATATGGTACATTCTTACTCCACTATTAATATTAATACTCTCTTCGTAAGAATTTCTTATTCTCACATAACTTAACATCGAATTTTCAAACATATTCGTAGCTTACACGAACTTTCCATATGTAAAATAGAAGTAGAATGTTAAAAAGAATAATGTAAATAAATTCCAATACTTTTATGTATCAATGGAATTGCAAGATATTGTAAAGTATGTTAGGATTATGTATGATACTCACGTAAAATAGCTTAAGTGTTCTGTATGTTAAAATCTGCATTTTTATAGTTTTGGCAATATACTTTTAAGAATTGTGCATGATACCTGTATTTTAATTTTAAGTTTTATACAGAGTGTTCGGTTAGGGGTGGACATCCTTTGAGGGGATGGTAGCTGGGGTGAATCTCAACCATTTTTTCCTTTATCAAAATGCTCGTTAAGGCTTAGTTTTTGAGTTATTAATTAAAAATACCGAGCAATCAGAGCGGCCTTTGATAATTCGGTGTTTTTAATTAATAATTTAAAAACTAAGTCTTAACAAACATCTCAGGGGGCTACCACCCTTTCAAAGAATATCAACCCCTAGCCGAACACCCTCTATATGTATACTAGTTTTCTTATTTTTGTTAAACTTTATTCTTAGTGTTCGATATTCGCATTTGTTCTGGTTCGTTTGTATATTTGTTTAGATATCAGACATTGTTATGCATATACATATATTAAGCAGCATAAAAACAAATATATATATGTATATTTATTCAAACTTTGCATGTATTAAATAAATTTTCATTTCATTCCGTTAAATGTATTTTATGTGTTTTTAACCTTACAGGTTTCTTCAGCTTCTCTGGCCTTTTAATTTCAGCTTTTTTTTTTTTATTTAACACAGTTTAAAATATGATGAATATTAACTATCTTTTAGGTAATCACTGTTATTGAAATACCTGGTGACGAAGACTACGTTATCGGTATAAGAGGAAATCAACGAGGAAAAGTACCCAAAGCATACTTAGAATCGCTTATTGTTTGCGAATGAGAACTTAATTGTTAATTAGCCTTAATGTACATTCCATTGTATTTTAAAATTTTACTCTATCGTTCAATTGAAACTGCCTTATTCGTGTAGATACATTCAACAATTTCTCTGCTTTGTGTAATAAATTTGAAAAATACCCTAACTTTCAAAATATGAGGCGGTAAAGTCACACTTGTTGGAAGAGTTTAATTAAAAATGTGGCACAAAACGAATACTATAAGCTCAAGCTGCATATCAATAAATAAAGAGTCAATTCTGAGAAATATAAAGATCTAATTCAGTTAGGGAATGTTTCTGTAATTACAAAACTGTTCCAACTAAGCACCTGTTCTACAAATATTGAAACCATGTTATATATTAATATTGTCTATAATATCAATAAAATTATTCGCTGTTTGAAATAAATATTGCTTGATGTAAGAAAGAAAATCCTTAAAAAATATTATTTTTATAATTTTATTGATAATCAATAGAATATAAAATTACTTCTTTTTCGATACACCGACTGTGCGTCCACGACGACCGGTGGTCTTTGTATGCTGACCGCGTACACGAAGACCCCAATAATGACGCAAACCTCTGTGAGCACGGATCTTTTTCATACGTTCCAAATCCTCACGAAGTTTCGAATCCAGATAAGAGCTAGTGAGCTACAAAACAAGAAAATTCCTTATTAAAAGTATCAAAGTAAGATATAATATATTATTTATAATTTATATGTTGCACATTAACATTCTAAGTTCCAGTATGCTATTTAACCTGTCAATGTTAATTAGCAAGCCAATGTGCAGTTTCTCTTGCACGCATTACCAGCTAATCTATGCTTTAAATACATATGATTAGTCGTGAAGTCGTGCTACATGTTATAAAAATGATTATTTTATTCGTATATATAATAGTTTCCTGATCATACATACCTGAGAGTATTTGCCATCAACAATATCCTTCTGCCTATTTAAGAACCAATCAGGGATTTTGTACTGTCTAGGATTGGCCATTATGGTAACTATTTTTTCAACCTTGTAACAAATGAATACATTTATAATTACAGGACAAATAAATATTTGAAAATTTTAATTATTAGTTCTTACCTCTTCCTCTGAACATTCTCCAGCCCGTTTGTCTAAATCAATATCAGCCTTTTTCAAAACAATATTGGCATAACGACGACCAACACCCTTGATTGCTGTCATAGCGAACATGACTTTTCTGTTACCGTCGATGTTCGTGCCCATGACACGAAGAATGTGCTGGAATTTCTCTGGAATTACGAGCGACTACAACAGAAATTTTAAACGTCATATTCCTGATCAAGATATCAACGTTAACATGCGATTTAATTTTCAAAGAAATATATAAATGCTATCGAATTATTTGCACAATTACTTTTGCATCTAGTTAAGAAGAAATATAAAGTCATAAAGCGTATAACAATAAAACCAATACATTAGAATTTTTAAACAATAAAATTGTATCACCTAGAACCTAACACGTGATGAATTATAACATTTTCAGGGAAAAATTCAAAAATATTTCCATAATTAATTGTGTAAATAATATTTATGTAATGTATCTTCAAAATTTAATACATATTAAATAGGATTCACATTAAAATTATAGATTTTACAATGTAATAAATAAAACTCACCATCTTGCCAATTCGTTTTCCACCGAAAGAGACAGAACCGGAAGTGCAAGCTTTTTCCTAAAGAGGGCACGAATAGTCGATTATCGAAGTCGTAGATCGATAGATGGCTCTACTAGTGCAGTGACTGGAAGCTACGCGTGCGCATCAAAAAACCGTAATGTATATTTTAATTTAAGATATTCTTTAGAATAATTATCGTTTATGTATACGTTTAACATATTCTCCTTGTAAAATAGAAAAGGTTAGTATATATATTACTAATATTAGTCTATAATTGCAGGTGGGGTTGCGATGTCAATTGTTTGTTACTGCAGCATTGGCGGGAAGCATAGTGAAACAAAATGAAGTAGTATTTACATACGAATGCACAATTTGCATAATACAGTTAAGGTAGCTATATTTTATCCACTAATAAGTAAATTAATGCGACATTAATAAAAATATATTTCCTAGAATATAGGTTCATGAAACGTATTGGACCAATACACTCTTAGTCGACAAGACGCCATTAAACACAAACACTATAGAAAGGAGGGAAAACAATGGATGACATATTGAAATAAATCGACACGTGTTCATTAATTAAGGAATTTACACGTTAACATCGAACTGCATGTAAGACCAATATATAACCTAAAATTGATTTATATTTTTCTATCGAGTTAAATATTTTTCAATATCGTAGCGAACGGTCTGGCGAACGTTTCGAAAAATTTTTGAACACGTTCGTAGTAAAATCCGTCTCGCGGGTATAGTTTCGATAACTCAATAAAAAGCGAAAGACTGAAAAGTAATCGTGTATCTGCAGAGCGAGAGGGGGAGGAAGAGGAGGGTAGTTTTCTATGGGATACGATTTCCTGCTCGGCTTTCCGTACATCTTCCCTTTCTTTCATCCCCGGATCCAAGAGGGTGGAGGAAAAACGAGCATCCAGAGGGTAATCGGGAGAAGGAATTCCGAGGTATGATACCCCTCTGATTCGTTTTACGATGGTCGTTTCCTCGAATTAGGACGGAATAAGAAAGAATTCGTCAATCCACTGATTTCGAGCAATCCAGCTTTATCCTGTTCGCGCGCGTACACGGATAGATCCCATAAAACGTGGAAAAGTTCATATACGAGCATGAGAAACACGGAGCATGCGTTGAAACGAGACAGAGATTTTATTATACGTATTCTCGAGTAGATTTGCTATGATGTAGATTTTAATAACATTCAACAAACGCGTGGAGAAGTTTATAATGTTCAACGCGCGGCTACACTTAGAAAAATTTAATATATTTGACTGCCAAACTATTAATATTTATTTTTGTATCATTTATGAAATGATTTCTGATAGAAAAACAAGGTAATTGAAAGTAATGGTAGGTGTGATTGGGTTAATATCGTGATTTCTGCGAGGAATAAAGGAAAAGCTGACCGTTCAGCCGTGTAACAGAAGAGACATTCAACGATACAGAGCACCTATGGTCAGCGGCACGTGCTGACATATGGGCTTTAGGGCTTTACTGCTATCCAGTGGTCTCTTTGCGGGGGTGGTAAATGGGGTGTCATCGTGTTAAATGGCCCTGATGGCCGCGGATCTATTCAAGGTTTACCTTCGCCGACACTCAAAACCAATTCTTGCGGCTAATTTCCGCCGTTTATACGTTTAATTGCCTTTTCAAGCCACCTGGACTACACCGGGGGGCTGCATGACGTTAGGAAACCAATTTTATCCGATAGAATTTCAAATTGTCGCGTTTATAGATTCCCGAAACCTATTGATTTCCATTGCCGTCCAAGATTGATTTAACTCTGTCGTTCATCGCACAGGACATCAGTCAGTCGAATAGCTTTTTTTTTATGATAAATTGTTGATGGATTTATAGCGCTCGCAGTTGCAGTAAACGCAACCAGGGATGCAATTTTACGACCCAAGATGGGCAAGATTCGTCCTGCTTCCGTAGCGAAAAAAATAAGGACTACCGTCAAATGCGTTGCGATGCGGTTTTATGACGATGAATGAGAGAAGTCGTTTCCGAGTTGAACAGAGGCCTCAGTGTACATCATCTTCTCGTACCTGCATCCTTGTCGCCAAGGTCGTTTCCTTCTTCCTAAAATCGACTTTCCAATCGGCTACTGAACGCCCTATTACCTGACGTTACTCTTCCCTCAGGTAACAGCGGGGCATAAATCATGTCCGTTTTATCGACGATTATTATTTATCATAACTTTCTCTTCTCAGCATCCCTTGCTTTCTAATATCCTCCTTGATTTTTAATAAAATTCTTCAATGATCAATAACGATTATAGAGGACCTCTTTGTTTTCTATTACATCTTTTTATATTGAATTATTGAATAAAATATCGCATCTTGTTTAGTAAATTCGCAGCTGTCGAACGATTGCCGTAGCTCGAAACTTTCTACTCCTCATGGAAGTATGATCGGCAATAATGCACAGTACGATCACGTTGAAACGGTGACCGTGACGAAAGTTGATTTCCCAGCACGGTACCATTTCCAGCAGCCTCTTCGGCTTTGCAAGAGCCACCCGCAATCTTTGTCGGTAAACAGGGGCTCGTAAATTACGGTACGAACGTCTCAATGTTGGCAAGGGACCCTAGCCTCCCCATTGTCTACGAGGTACCGACATGTTAGACACGCACCCTGAAATCCGAGTTAACCGAAACAGCTCTTTCGAACAGCGGACTAGGCCAATGGAAGCGTTCAGTTTTCAATATAAAACGTTTATCAAAAATCATCGTCGATAAGATATTTTGAACGCGTTTTAAGCTCGAGAAACCGCTTCGAAATTCATTCGTTTCCTTCCTCCGCATCCTCTTCCCCTTTGATGGACGCGTTTCCTCGCACACAGTGATAACATCGTTGCGTATATACGTAACATAGACGCAGCTAAGGCTGCGGCGTCGGGACGCAGGTGGCGATGCTCAGAGCCAATTATGTGAACGCGCCCCGACGTCGGCGTCGTTCTCGCAAATCCCTATCCTCGCGTTTAAAGCCGCGCGAGGGGTGCCAGTGAGAGAGAGAGAAGTTTAACTTGTCTACGCTATAACGGATTAACGGGCACGATTTATTCGCAAGTAATTGCTTCCGCCCTTTAATTAACTCGCATTTATTTCACGTAATGGCGACCGCTTGCCAGCGGTACACGAACTTTTCGACGAAAGAGCCTCGCGAAAGAAGACGATCCTCGTTCGTTATCTGCGCGAACGTCTTCTCGTTTCAAAGAGAATCTATCTCTATTTTCAATTTTAACTATGATTAGTTGGATAAATAGAACGATCGAGCTCGTCGGTTAAGGGTTAATTTAGACCGGACGTTTTGTAAATGGTTCCCTTAAGTTTCGCGTCGCGACGGAAAGATGCATTAGGGTAGCGTACATCAATGGAAGAGATTCGAAATTCGATCGGCGATTGATATCTCTGGAGGGTGGAAATACTCGAACGGCCCGGGGAACCTGGGGCTGTCGGATACGCGGAGAGACTCATAGTCGCCATTTTGAGAACGATAAAATATCCTAGGGGTTGAGCCTTATCTTTCCTATTATCGATAGCTGGCAGAGGACCAATATGGCCACGGTACCAGTCGCCATGGTTACTTCGGGCATACTTGTTCCAGCAACGGCAATCCCATCATCCCTACTATTATCATGCCTTACCATAAATAAGAAGAAGCCACTCTTTTATTTTGTCCAAGAAAACGTTCGAGTCCTTTGGAGAATTATACTTTATCGCGATTGGGAAAAGGTTTGAAATTTTTGAAGCGAGTCTTCCGATTGGAATGACCGGCAGTCATTTGATACGATTAGAAAATACAACAAAATCATTTGTATAGTCATTTTCCTTGGACTTCAAGCTTTAAATTGATGCTGCACAAGTGCTGTTTCGAACAACTTTTATGTCATGAAATTATGAAAGATCGTTCGAGCCGATATTAATAGCTCCATTGTTACAAGTCATTTTCACACATAATCTTAATACATTATTCCCCGGATAATCTGCGAAAAGTGGGAGGATATTCGTTGACAAAACAGCGTTCAGAAGAGTCACAACAATCGCCGTGGGAGACATGGAATAATCAGCTAGATCGGAAAGAGGCCGAAGAGGATTCCCAGGAGGGCTTTCACCGGCACGAGTGTCACGCCGTCAAAGATTTTCTCGTCTCGGGATTAGCCATGGGCCCACCTCCTGGGCGAGGATACTTGTTATCCTGTCTAAGGACGGCACGTCAAAATATTGTGTCAAGGGCACCTGAACCATTGTCGAAGGGACATCTTGTACAAGAGCGCCGTGTACTTCTAACACGTGGCCGATATCCATCGACGAGCAACGTCGATTTAGAACCTTTCATTGTTTTATCTAATAATTTCCTTCGAGCGAGTCAAATTCTCTCTCGTTAAATCAGCAAGCGCTCGATAAAAACTCGAGCAACAGCTACCGAAGTTGCTCGGAAGATTATCTTCCGCGCTGGCGGAAACGACAGGAGACGAAGCAATTTCCAGTTATCATGCTTTCGGTCTACAGAAACAAGAACGCGGAGGACGATAAATCTGTTGTCTCCTGTTCACCCGTCTCCTCGTGATTCACGATTCCCCCAGGATCGGCTGCATTCTGGCACGATCGCCGCGCCTCTTCGTTCGCTTCAACAGCGGCATTATTCAGACTGTTCTTCAAACACCGCAGAATCGAAGGAGAATTTATCTGAGCTATGTCTAACAGCAGCTTTTTAAAATTGATACCCCCGAAAAATATGGGATACTTGGAAAGGGAACGAGCGAGGTATGGAGAAGGCCCGTTACGGCACTGCGGCTTCCTTATCTCCCGGGTGAATCCCCTTCGTGGGGGATGAAACGAAGGTCCGCGGGCACATAATAGCCAAGATGGCGGCACCCGGTGTTATCACTCGTTCAGAGGGAGTATGGCAACCGAATTGGATTGGGTGGCAGCCAATACGGCGGCTCTCGTCAGCGATATCATCGCCCTCCGGCCTTTCCATTCTCTCAAACAGCAGCCCCGATTCGAAGTAACGTTTTGTCAGTGAAAAACAGTCGTACCCACGAAGCTTGGAGTTTCATGAAAATCATGACTGCGAAGCCGAAGCGGCTGTAGATTTCTCGATTTTCCAGCGTTACAACATTTCGGATCGAAGAAACGTGTTCCTTGAAAGATGAGGACACGTAGGGTGGCGTCCTTGGAACGATGGCAGTCGAACGAGGGAAATGTTGAATAGAGAAACTGGGTTGGTGTGTCGAGAACGGACATAAATCTTCTTTTCCTGCGCCGATCTAGGGGACTCGGTCAATATTTCCAAAATATTTAACAGGCTTCCCGTGGAGCGGGCACGCGCCACTTTGGATCACCAGCATCCACCCTTCTTTCTCTTTTTCCGACGAGTCGAAGATAATTCGAAGAGCCTTGCTGACAACGACCTTGACCGAAAGCCGGAAGAAGAAAGTTTTATTGGGGCATAAATACGTCGTTCGAGACTTGAAGAAACATTTACGACCCTTTCACATTCTCCTTTTGTACTGCACTGCTTCCTACTTACCGGGCTTCCGAATTTTTACCTTCTCCACTGTCGAGAGATGGAAAGAACGTTAGGAAAAGGAACGCGGGTACGATTGGTCGGAGTCGGTACGTCACGCCTCACGCACATGGATTCACATGGATCACGCACATGGCCTCTAGATCATCGCGCACTAATGGCCGATGCGATCATACGCTAATCGCGTCGCCAAAGAAGAAAAATGAGACTTCGCGACAAAGCGAGGATCAAACGTGGGGATTGGGCGGAGCGTGCGAAGTGCTCCTTGTATGTTCTTGCCATCTCTTTACTGTATCTATCTCTCTTATCAAACTTTACCATAATTCCTCACGATTCTTCGTCCTCCTGCTAGTGTTAGTTTATATTAATCAAAGGAGGGTTGGAAAATTCATCTTTCTTTATTTTTAGAGGGA